TTTAGGTGGGTCTTAAGAACGAAGGACTATCGATACACAAAGACATACAATTCAGACTTTAGACGGGTCTTAAGAACGAAGGTCTATCGATACACAAAGACATACAATCCAAACTTTAGACGGGTCTTAAAAACGAAGGACTAATGATATACAAAGACGTGCAATCCAGACTTTAGACGATCTTAACAACGAAGGACTAACGAAGGACTAATGCTATCCAGAGATGTACAATCCAGATCAACCATTTGCGAAAATTCGTGCAGATGAAAAAGGACATACTGTTGCATCAAGGAAATAAAGAATACAAAAGTGATTATTACTGAACTGAGATGTTTTCTGTCTCGTTTGCATTCTACCAAGGTACAAGAGAACATGAATACGGCCAGATACGAAAGCCGATTTCAATCAATTTTTGACAAATATTACGAAACTCGGCGTGGCAGTGTTGGGAATTCTTGATATTGCATGGCGGCTTTAAAGGAACGACAATTCACCCAATTTCCGGTGCTAATATCTTAGCGTGGATGTACTGGGGTCAGACCACAATTAATTTGACAATATATAACATGTCTTCAAGCTGAGCTCAAACCAACATTTCATTCAGACTAGGATTCGTCTTTCCTGTCTGAGTTCAGGTCAACATTCCAATCATGCTAGGATTCCCTGGAGTAACAGTGCCATAATTGTAGTTACACAATTTCATACTCAGCACAATTACAATGTCATTTGATGAAAACCTGCTGAAGCCATAATTTCATTTTAGGACCAATCAAAGCAAAGTTTTCACCATACTTCACAGCTGCTTTCAATGTGAATTTCCATCAAACTGCTTTCTAAAGCCGCAATAAAATGTATCTCAAGATAAAGAATGACTCATTTCCAATTATTCCATTGTACAGTTCTGTTCCCGAAATAAAAGGCTCATCCAAAGAAAATATCTAAATTCAGATATGAAGGACTTAGCTGGATATTGATCCGGAAACACTTTGACCTCTGTACCCTGTCAGAGGCATTGATACACCACACAACAACAATATATTACTCATGGGAAATAACGGAAATTTTCAATAAAGGTGGTTTTCTACAGTTTGCATAGGATTAGATTTTTAAAGAAAACTAATTTCCCAGCTTTTCATCACTAGTTTAATTGGCTGTTTTAAAAAAGACCTTGAACGCATTGTGTCTTGTTACTATAAAATGACTTCATTTCCCTTTTTTAATGCCTGATGGATGGGTGTAATTTGGGTTATAGAGTATAAAGCATGGCTGTAGTTCATATGTGCACCTATGATAAAAATGCTTCCTTGACTTAAGAGGTAAGCTGTATAACGGAGCTGATATTTTTTGTTTTTATTTGCTATATATGTTGTTTTTTTATTCATTGCTCTTCGAGCTGGTACTATCTAGTCTAAACAAAATACGTTTTCTTTTTCTTAACAACAACTAAAGATCGTGTTATTTGGACTAACTCAGGTTGATTTTTTTTTCTAATACACGGGAGCAGCCATTTTAGTTAGCTGAGTGCTTAAATCATTAACAATGTCTACAAGTATAACATTTAAAGACATTTCAAGCAGCCCATGAAAGAGGCATGCCAACACTCTCCGTTGTAGTGCCAACACTCTCCATTATGGCCCCTTACAATTATCCCTCTCTCTGCTCTTCATAATATATGCAGAGCGCTTCCAAGTCCGCATAGTATTTTAGTATTTTAGATTTCCTAAAGGAAGTAAATCTTTATTTTAAACTGTAACTTGTTATGACCTTACCCAAACTAATTTTTAACTAATTAAATACCAACTATTATTTACATCTTTTCATCAAGATACATCATTTACATTTCCCATTGATCGGGAACCGATATTTTTAACTGTTGACAACATTTATCATTTTATATTTAACTACTATGGATTTTTTTACTATATCGCTGGTCGATATTGAACCTTTCTTTTTACATATATGACCTACTGTATGGCGCTAAATAGCCTAAAAGTGCTGGTGCGCCGTTAAAATTAAATCAATCAATCAATCAATCCAAGTCAGCAAATAAATTCTTTAGTTACAGGCAAAAATGTCATCTTAGCCAGTAATTGAAATACGACTGTTTAGTGTTGTGTGCATACATGAGAGGATAGTATTTCAAATTGCAGTGGAAAGAAAATCATTAAACATTTTACTCCCAAACAAGAAAGCTGTAAATTGAATACAATCTCAATATAAAACTAAGCCAAATTGTCAAAATCTTTTCAGGAAATTCTAAAATGGTAATTAAAATGGAAAATGTGAAATTTAAATATATATTTTGAAAACCTTCGAAAGTGTAATTTGCAAAAAAGCTGTGTGCGAAAACAAATTGTGATGCACAGGAACCTAGTTCAGGCTAAAAGGATAAAGTATTAATGGTCATTCAGAATTTAATGCAAATCCCATATGTAACACATCACTCTGAGTTTGAAATGTGACCTAAAATTGGATACCGTTTGTGCTTCAAGAACTTTTAGTTAACCAGAAGATCGTACCCCATGTGGCAAATAGAACGTTTAGCAGATCGAATTCATTTGGAATGTCCCGGTTTACTAAATGAAAATCAGCCATATTCAGATATGCTATATTTCCAGGTATTTTAATCAAAGAAAGCCTGAAGCGGGTACATACATTCCTTAGTTACTAACTAACTGGTGTCTCAATTCGTACCTTAACTCAAACAAAGTCTCAAATGAATGAAAATGAAAAGCATTTACTTCAAGAAATCGTGAAAATGAAGTTAAGTGAAAGTACTTTAATCACAATGAGACTTTACACAAAGACACACAGGAGTGAAGCTATGAACAGATGACCAGGTATTTTTTCTAAGAGTCTAAACGAAAGGAACTTTAAAGGGAGACGTGTAGCATTTATTGATAGAGTTATTGAAATTCGGCAAATAAGTTGTCAGAAAGTTAGACTATTTGGGCATCAGCCTTTGTAAACAAAAATCTGAGGTTATCGATCAAAATTAAAAAGACTCTTAATATAACTAAGAATACCGTGCCAGAACTGATGTCAAGCATCACACTATGAGAAGGCAATATAATAGATAGCCATAACCAGTACAGAAAAGTCAAGAAAAAAATGAATTCTGGTTATTTTAAAAAAGAATACGATTTGTATGAATGTAATCCATATTCCCCATAATGTGTTTGGCCACCGTTCCAAATGGGAGCATTACCCATTTTGGAACCAGAATAAAATTTTCATTACGTTTCAGTGTAAGATTTTGCATTAAAAAATCCCACCTCTGCTAAATTTTGGTACATGAAATCGATGCCTGAATATAATAAACAATATTATTGATTATTTTATTTTCCTAAATCAACATAATATGCTATGTTCTGGTCGTAACATGTTATAATGTCACAACCTATTAACATGAAAGTACGTCTTTTCTATCAGATACTCCCTTCCTACCGCAACGTAGCTGTGGCTTATTATTTCTAGCTGAACACCATTAGTCATCGTTTCTAATACTAACACCATCTACGTTTGTTTGAAATGAATTCACAACTTAATTACACATTTGAACTGATGGACTATACTACTTGTCCTGACTATGTAACTTTGCTAATTAGCAATTCATTGATATACATTTCCAGACATAGAAAAATCAGTTCTCAGCAAACATAATACAAATTAACTAATTAAATTAATTAATTTACTTATCACATACGTATAGAATAAATGCATGAAATTCCTATGATTTTTATGAACACACACACACACACACACACACACATATATATATATATATATATATATATATATATATATATATATATATATATATATATATATATATATATATATATATATATGTGCAGAGGGAGAGAGAGAAAGAGTACATTTTTATTCTTACAATATATGTATCGTGTACCATTCAAGACAAAATGTACGCAAACCTTTAGCTTCTGGACTCAAGGAAATTTGAACATTTCATTTATAATGAATAAATGCAACAAAAAATTGCAAATTTATATATATGAACCTATTGTATTCAATTGAGGTTAGCCTTGCTTTATTGAAATAAGCTCTTGCTATGCAGCCGAATCTCTTTTCAAGTCCTCCTTTCTGACACACATCCCTTGGGCAATCGAACGAAAAAATATTGTTATTTTCAGGAGCTAAAACTCTGGCTTGCCTCTGAAATTTAGATTTTCTAATTTCGCTAGAAAGATTATTTTAAAGCCATGAATTACATCTATGAGCACAACCCCACTGATCTTAGTCATGTAAAACTTAGTTTCTTTAGCTGCCAAAAAATGTTAATACTCCCATCGAAATCAAATAATCCTCTCTAGTCAGCCTTTATTAATAATTTTTCTGAAGAATATAATTGTATGACACATGTATAAAATGGTCCAAGATTATCTGAAATTTTTGCTTTGGCTTGTCTCAACTATTTCATTCATAACAGTTAGCACCATTTTGACATATATCTCGAGCCATTATCACAAGGAGTGTAATTAAACTTGAATTAATGCCCAAAACAGTGCAGATACTATCCCAATTTCTTGCCTACACGTCAAACTTAATGTTTGCGTGTCACGCTTACTATGACAGAATGTACAAGGATATTATTTCTTAAAAAAAGTTTGCATTACTGCATTGTGCTTTATTGTGAATTGGGCTTTATTATGAATTCATTCAAGGACTTATATATTATATTGTTCTGATATACACAGGCGCAAATACAAACTCATAACAGTTTTTGCTAAGCAAAAGAGTGAGCAATAATTGTGTAATATATGTGTGACGTAGCTTTAACAATTTTTCAGCAATATCTCTACGAGGTCTGCAGCGTGGCAATTTATAGTGATGTCTAACAATGGAGAATCATATCGCAGGCATGTAGCATGATGTTCTTTCCACCCAGTCACATTATCCTTACGCCAGGCCGATCAGTCCTAACACTAACCTCTTAATGTTGAGCGCCTGTTACTACCATTTTTGCAAGTCTTTTGGTATGACTCAACTGGGAATCGAACCCACAGCCTCTCGCACCCGAGAAGGACGCTCTAACCACTAAGCCACCGGATCGGTATTAATAATTGTGTCCCCGTGACTCTTATATCGTTAGTTTGTATGACCGGATATAATAAGCAACCGTATGAACAACTCATATACCTATATGCTCTACGATGATGTACATTTTGTAATTATATTATTTGATTCTAATAATCGTATGTGAAGACGAACGTTTCTTTTGCTTTTAGCTAAATGTTTGTAATTTATCAATTGCAGTATTAAATTCCAGAAGCATTAGTTAAAATTCGTTTATTTCCTGCACTGAGCAAGATTTGTGGAAATTAAAATTTGTTTATTAAGTTTTAAAGAGCCGGCTTTAACTTGTGACTGTTGAGATGGCTGTTAACAGTTTGCCGTCATAAAGCATTTGCATATATGTGGTACTACAGATGTGTCAAAGCATAAATCATGATCTGACGTTGACGATGGGATTTAGTATGGGAGCTGATATCTTGAGCGACTTGTGGTCTTTGGTAGAAAAGCGCTATCCAGTATAAATCACAGTATCGTTACTCGAGTTTTGCAGCTTGAACCTGACCTGTTAGAGACCTATTTTTAGAAGCTTTTCCAGGTGTGCCAGCATAACATTGATGATAGTCGCCAAGTTTTTCATCTGGTTAAATTGAGCGCCCAGCTTTTTATAACTTGTTTATTGCTGAATCGCTGAAAGACTTGCTCATATCACACCATAAATAATTAGCAGGTCTGATATGTTGACTCGCAATTTTGTATTTAGAAATGAATTGTTTGTGCTCTGGTAGCGAATGTCATTGATTATTAATTGACATCTATTTGATCTTATTCGACTTTTGATTCGCTCAATATGAGTTTCTCGCTTGCAACAATATATTTCCTTGCAAAAAGGTATACGAAAATTCCTTTTAAAAGAGAACATATTTTAAGCTACTGCCTAGTTTATGTGGCTCATTGAAGGTTAAAGATATCAGTCTTTGAAGCTTTATAAATTTATTTCATGTGATAATTAAATAAATGTATATATTTCATAACGGCTCAAAAATAACATTTACAGCTGTTTTAATATTATTTTGAACAAATATTCATCTATTGTCTTATAACATATTTACAATAAATTTAGTAATTGTAACTTTATGCATGAGCCAGTGAACCGTATCAAAGACTAATGATAAAACATAATGTTTTCGTATTAAAATTAATTAAATATATATGGTATAGATTTTCAAATCTTTGAAAATTAAATCGACCTCGGATATTTTTAAAACATTCGCATCAACGTGTATGGATATATAATATTAAACTAGATTAATTATATTCAATTAAAGATTTTAAAGAAAGATATGTAGCAACAGTATGATAATTAAGAATGCTATAAAAGAATCACTTTCAAATTTTGTTCAAGAAATTCAAATTAAAATTGATGTAAAATCTCTTAAAATCATTTAATATTAATTTTTTGTACTGTGATGCATTATCCACGTTAATTTTCTAGCCCTTTTCTTGTCTTACAGACGTGTGCATAGTATATCTACTTGAATATATTTATTTCTAGCTATCATAAGTTTGCTTATAATTGCTCCTTCCAATTGTTTTGAATATCACTCTTGACAAAAAGCCATTTGAAGCCATGAATAATAATAATAGCGTTATGTTAATGGTGCTTGAGGTCTAATTTCTAGGGTCTTGTCCAGTTGCTTACAACCAATACTTTGGGAACCAACGTTGAACGTTTGAAGTAGATAGTCAGGAAACTAAAGGTTTAGACAGATAGGATACAACGATTCTGAGTGAGTAGTTACGAAACCTCTAAGTTACAACGAAAATAAAAATCATACGGTTTAGATACAAAGAAGAGACAAGGATTTAGACCAGTCTGAAAACGTAATGTTGTAGGCGTGAAGCATTAACTGTGGCGTTCAAAACTAATATTCCACGCAAAATTAGAGATTTTTTTATTACTTCATCATCCAAAACAAATTGTGAAGCAAAAAACTTTCCAAAGATAGCATATGCATGAATAAGATATCTATTTATAACGCAATATAACTAAATTCTTTGAATGTGAGCATTGTATTTGATAAACATTTGTTTGGTCGTATGACTGGTTTTGTTTTTTACTTGTGTCTTTTATATCGTTTTTTGTAAAGTACGCACCTTTATTATATTTTCTCATCAAATTAACATTGTGTAAATAATACATCTTCATGATACATTCTCATCAATTAGCACCGTGTAAAGTACGCACCTTTATTATACTTTCTAATGAAATTAACACTGTGTGTAAAGCATACATTTTCATTAGACATTCTCATAAAATTAACACTATGTGTTAAGTATACAACTTCATTATACTTTCTCGTCAAATTAACAGTGTCGACAACTCTTGGCTAGTAAAGTTGAGGTACCGCTACTTTTGTAGAATAGGGCTTACATAACGATCTAAATCAACAAGTGCTTGAATAAGATTGTATCCTCCTGGGTTCATATACTTATTTGCATGTTTTATTTGTGATTCATGTCATACATATCTGAGTCTTTGACAGTGAAGTGTTACTTTTAAAAGCCTTATAACAGATGCAACAATGGCAAAATAATAAACGACCAAAGACCAACGAAAAAACGAATGATAAAGACTACTTTTCAACTGACAATCCTAAACAATCCCTAAGACGACACCAGAAAGCAACAACGCACAGACGCCCCCTCTCCCATATCTAGACCATGTAGTATAACACCCAAATCCCACCCAAATAAAAAAGAATAAAGAAAAATAGGACCGAATACGATAAGCGAGAACAGTGTATCCAAGTGTATTAAGTGAACATTTTTACATGATTATTTGGGTCGTGTCCGCATAATCGTACACTATTCATCTAAATCAATTCATGTCAACTGAGACTTCATCTAGCCATGAATCGATGGGTTTCATTACGTACAAGGGATTTTTTCACATCGTTATAATACCTTCATCGTATAAATTGTCAAAGGTCATTGCGGATGACAACGCCTCTGCTCGGAGAGTAATTGAAATTTCTGACCATGTAAGGATAGTCACAAACTTCATTTACTCTCCAATAGAGGCGTTTGAGAACAACTAATCGTCAGTGTTTGTATTAAACCCCAGGGAATAGAGATAAAAAAGAACATAACTTTATTCATGTAGTATTTCTCAGACCACTAGCAGATGGCACAAGAAAAAGGCAAGTCAAATTAATGTATAGGTGCATGTTCATGTTAGGGAAGACAAAGTTACTTAGTGCGAATCTAAATCAATCGATGAGAGAGAGAGAGAGAGAGAGAGAGAGAGAGAGAGAGAGAGAGAGAGAGAGAGAGAGAGAGAGAGAGAGATGTATTTTTTGTTTGTTTGGAGTTTGAATTTGTGATATATATATATATATATATATATATATATATATATATATATATATATATATATATGTGTGTGTGTGTGTGTGTGTGTGTGTGTGTGTGTGAAATAACTTCGACATTCATATGCACATTCAATTTAACATATAAACAATTTTCAACTACATAACTATTAAAACAGAATGATATTGTACCAAGTAATGAAAATTTTACTGTGGTTAGTAAGGAAAGTATGACTTACCGAAAGGTGTCTATGAATGGTAAATATGTGACAATTTTAGGTGCATGACAAGTAACATATAAAGAAAATGTCGCAGAGAAATGAAGAAAAAAAGCACGCTCTTTGGGTTTTGTTACTAGTTTTAACAATTGAAAAGAATCACTGCACATAAATATGTAATGAAATACTTACTGTTATACAGAATAAAACAAATCCAAAACTATCTTTTAAATTAAAGATTTTGTTGATATTAGTCATGCAGATGCGTTTAAGAAAATGAAATACATTTATAAATTTAGACCAATTCTTGCGAGAAAAAGTTTCAAAAGCTTCATGGTAAAATGTAAAACAAGAGTCTAAGCAAGCGACTCTATCTGGTAAAACTTTAACAGACAAGTAAATTGTAAAACTCACTCAGCACATCTGCCTTGCCACATAGGTTACATAGTCTATTTTTGTATCACATCTGCCTTGCCACATAGGTTACAGTCTATTTTCGTATCATATCTGCCTTGCCTCATAGGTTACATAGTCTATTTTCCCATCACATCTGCCTTGCCACGTAGGTTACATAGTCTACTTTCGTATCACATCTGCCTTGCCACATAGGTTACATAGTCTATTTTCGTATCACATCTGCCTTGCCACATAGGTTACATAGTCTATTTTCGCATCATATATTTCTCTAGCTCCCTTTCTTTACAGGTAATCTGTGGTTACAAGCCTTATATTCTCAGGGGAGGAATGCATATAGAATTTAGGATAGTGATATTCTAAATTATGGTCTTGTTTTAAAGTATTATATTAACTTCTCTAGGACAATTTACGTTATTCGGCACTTCATTCATGTATATACAGGTTGTTCAATTTTTTTTTTTTTTACAATATTGGCTTTGTAGGCTCAAAAGTTACTGGTTGAACCTTGTCCCCCCAAAATGTCGTATCGACCAACACAAATCTTAATAAGTTTTATGCAAGAAACCGTTTATGAATCGTAATAAGTGATTGTATATGAAGTTTCACAGGCTTTGGAGTCTTTTTTATTTTTATGAAAAACACATATTTGCTATTCATAATACAAGCCTATTAACTTCATCTGGGTTATGCAATCGATAATCACGTGATTACATACGCTGTATGAAAACAATTCTTCATCAATATTAAAGAAGATCAACGAGATTAAACCAAAAATTATAAGCCAATTAATATGCATTTCATTTACATAACGTGAAATAAAATGTCTGATTAATACAACATTTCCCCCTCTATTCTATCCTTGATACTTTTGTTTCCTATTTCGGTGAATGCCATACCTTGGTTGATTACTAAGAGTTATAAATTTGTGTTTCGTTGAAACAGAAAACGTCAAAATTGTGTAAAAAATTACGGATATAATAATTTTTGTTTGAGGCTACAGTTGATCATGTTAGGATTAGTATAAATGTTTCCG